AAGCTTTATATAAAACACTCGGTATTGCCTCTTCACGAGGGGAAAACGAAACAATTTAAGGAAATAACAAAGGGATTCATTATTTTTCTGTGGGCTAATGTTCACTTAACTCTCATTAGTGGCTAACCGACTAGCTAACCATGCTAACACACATAACTTTTCAACTAAACAAATTCCAAACCAAGTTCATAAAGGTACTCACGGTCTCCTGCTCGCTTTTATCCCTCCGCAGTAAATGAAAGATGTGGAAGCGGGCTTTCATCGCTTCAGCCATCCAGATCTCATGGAGAAAGTGAAACTGCTGGGAGTTTGTAGTGTGTGTAGCCGTTTGAACGGCGCTCAGTGGGATGTGACGGTAGACTAACATTCAAATGATGGGAGAAAAATGCACTGGACTATCAGAATCACATCCACGGGGACTAGGGTTGCCAACTTCAGAAAATGAAAATACGGGACAATAAGTGTTAAATTGTGAGCTTAAAAATAAGTTTCGTTTAGATCCTATCGGAAGGGAGTTGCATTAATCTAGTTGCAATATAAATTAAACCTACTTTAGTTAACTTTAGACTAGGGTTAAGATTTATAAGTAATAATATTAATGGTTTGTTTACTGAAATATTTATTCACTATCCGTGCGTTAAAGATTTTCAAAGTTCAGGATTTGACCACCACCTGGTGGCAGATAGGATTGTATACAATCCTGTACTGTTGACAGGCATAACATATAGCATTTTTATTGTCTATTTTCTCAAATATTTTTCAGCACAAATTATAACACTGTATATGACAGACTGCAGGAACATATCGTTTTTTTATTTAATAAATATTTCCATTACAAATTATAAATCAAGACAATGTAACAGACTGACAGACTAGAAACATAAAGCATTTTATAAGCATGGCAAATTATAAGCCTAACCATTTTCAAACATTTTAAATGAATAAACATACATTTTAGAATATCTTTGTATTTACGTAATTTGCTTTAATGACAGAATCACTCATGACAATCATAGATTACAGCATAATTTGAGAAAGAGCATCTTTTGTATCGTTTTCAACAAATAAATGTACATCTTTATTTACAAATTTAAATGTGTAATATGCTGTCAGATGTTTGGACCCCACAACTGGAACAAAAGTGACTCTCCAAAATTCCAAACTAAATTAAATTTACTCAGTGAGACATTTGATATGTTTCAATCAATTTTGTGTCCATTGTGTCCCACTATCGCTCTGTCCTACTTAAATTGATCCGGTCCCTTGATATTGTAACGGATATCTATCTAATCTTTTTTCCCTTACTAGAAACAGCAAACACATCTCCCTCCTTAAAGTATTATAAATATGATACATGAGCCATCGAGGCTGTACAAAAATAAATAAATACTTCTTGTTTTATCTAAAATAATGTTAAATATGAAATAAATGTTAAAATACATTCAGTTTTAAAAGTATAGCCACGAGACTTAAACATATTATACATGTTGGCATGCTACTTGTTTGACAAAATCACTAAATAACTTTGTGTAAAGTTATATCTAATTTTTCACCTCCTGTAAACCCAGTAACTTCTGCACAAGGGTGCAGAATTTAGTAGGGATATCCAGCGAATACTGAATTGTCCCTAGCAATAATTTGATCAAACAATTAAAATATATTTATATGTAACCACTGCTGTTGTAGTTTTGGCCTCATCTAAAACTGATCATTGACATTACCTAAGAAGTTATGCTAGAAAACTGCACATGCATTTAATGCATGGACACTGACAGAGTAAAAACAAGCAAATTTATCCTCTTTAACTTAATGTTGTTAAACTGAATGCACGAAGCAGACTTAAATATCTACATTAATATCTACATCTACATAAATTAAAAACAACACTCAGATAAAAGTGTAAAAGTGTGCAGTTTATCTGTCAATCAGATGTGTTTAAACGTTGTAGGGTCCGGGGGGCATTTGCTTTCAGAATCATCATTGGTCCAGTTCATTTTAATATTGAAATAATGCGATGTACAGTGTCATTAAAAAGCCCTCCACCCCCAGAAAAACATAATTCGCACCATAAACTGTGTAATTCATCTCCATACATCAGCATGGAAGCCCATTTCCACCACTGAATAAAAATATAAAAGTAATTGCGACTTTTTATCTCGCAATTGTGACTTTTTTTCCTCAGATTTGCGAGATATAAACTGGAAATTCTTTCCTCAGAATTGCAAGATATAAACTCGTAATTCTGAGAACATCATTTGTCTTTTTTTCTCCTCAGAATTGGACTTTATAACTCGCAATTGCGAGTTTATATCTCACATTTCTGAGAAATAAACTCACAATTGCAAGAAAAAAGACAGAATTACGAGATACAAACTCACACTCGCATCTTGAGTTCTCGTGATTCTGAATTTATTGCTCAGAGCTGCACGTTTATATCCTGCCATTCTGACTTTCTATCTTGCTATTCTGACTTTTCAGCTCGCAATTGTGAGTTTTACTTTTTATCTCACAATTCTGAGAAAAAAAAGTCAGACTTGTGAGTTTGTCACGCAATTGCAAGATGTAAACTCGCAGAAAAAAAAGTCTGAATTGTGAGATAAGTCGCAATTACCTTTTTAATTTTTTATTCAGTGACAGAAATGGGCTTCCATACATTGAACATACTGACATAAAAAAAACTCTCATGATAAGTAAATTGTAGTCAAAAGCCTAACATGAATGCAAAAAATTAGGAGAGGGGGGCTCCTCACAAGTTCACCACAAGTTCATTCCACTAAAACAAGTTCAACTTTTTTTTTTAAGTGCTTTAACAAAAATTCAATACTGTTTGTAGTAATGCATTTGCCATTGATAAATCTCATTTTGGGGGGGGGGGCAAAAACTTTTGACCCATACTCGGAATTAGTGCTCTGCATTTATCCCATCCAAAGTGCACACACACAGCAGTGAACACACACACACACACACACCGTGAACACACACCCAGAGCAGTGGGCAGCCATTTTTTGCTGCGGCGCCCGGGGAGCAGTTGGGGGTTCAGTGCCTTGCTCAAGGGCACCTCAGTCGTGGTATTGAAGGTGGGAGAGAGCGCTGTACATTCACTCCCCCCACCTACAATCCCTGCCGGTACGAGACTCGAACCCGCAACCTTTGGGTTATGAGTCCGACTCTCTAACCTAACCCACCCCTCCACAATCAACTGCAAACACAAAGGCCATACCTCAAAATCCAATCAACAACCATTGGACGGAACCAAGTCATCGCCCTGCATTTTTTTCTATTTTAATAATACATTACACTCAGATGTACATCACAATATTTAAGAAAAGATCTGTCACTGTTTCATCACGACTTTAAGTTACCCATAACTACATATAAAACACATATAATGCCATAGCTTAAATTTGACTTGTTATTTTCACAGCTGTCACTCTAATATTACAGAGATATTATGAACAACATGAAGGATACAAAGGTATTTGGTATATGCTAAGCTGTTGAGCCAAGGGTCGAAGCACAGCTGTGGGGTCTCAGTCTCACATGAAAGATGTGGAATTATCTTTGTTAGTATTGTGGTTAAATTGGCTGGTGAAAAGCTAACATGAAAGCTGATCATTTATGGTTAAATGAAGAGGACATTCAACTGTTGTTTTTCAGTTTAAAAAAAGAACATGGAGTGTGTGGAGTTGAGGGAACAACACTATGATCTCAGATATTTCAGACATTCAAACTTGCACGCACACACTGATTTTGGAAAGTGTGAGTGCATGAGTAACAGGTGGTCAAAAAACAGCGACATAAACACCTGTCTATCTCTTTTTCTGTTTATACCACGTCAATAAAAAGTCACCAGGAGTCCGTAGCCACATTGTGGCTGGCTCACTGACACAGGAAATGGTTACTATGACAACTTAGATCTACATCCTGCCTAAATGCAGGTTGATGAAGGAAGCTTCACGATTTATATCTCAGACTCTCCATCACAATAAATCAATATTAGTTCCCAATGTTCTTCAAAATAACTTATTTTGTGTTCCACAGAAGAAAATAAATCATACAGGTTTTAAAACCATGAGGGTGAGTAAATGATGACGGTATCAATCGTCACCTAGCAACCTAGCAACCCCCAAAACACCTTAGCAACCGCCCAGCAATGGCCTGGCATCTACCTGCAACACTCCAGCATTGCGGTGGAATGTTCTGCATGGACACCACTCTTGTAAAATGACTTTATGGTTGTTTTCGCTGATTGTCATTGTGCTGTTATGGTACTGTGTCTTATTTGAACAAAGCTCATCCACAGATGCACACACCCATAAGGAGGGAGGGTTGACATTTAAACATCTGAGCTTTCCTTCATCAAAGTAGATTCACTTCAAAGTCACGTGAGAATAACATCTATGGTTAACCTCTAATAGTTCTAACAGCCATAAACACACCAATTTATTGTTATCGTGACAATGCTTGGTATGAAAGTATATTTCCTCCATGAAATAAAAAGGTAATTGTGACCTTTTTTATCTCACAATTGTGAGGCTATATCTCACAAGTCAGACTTTTTTCTCAGAAATCCAAGTTTATATCTTGCAATTGCAAATTGAGATCTTGCAGAATTCTACATGTGCATGTAGTCAGGTTGTCTAAATATTCTGGGATAAAAAAAAAACAGAATCGCAAGACATAAACTTAAATGTTCGAGAGAAAAAGTCAAAATTGTGAGATTTAAACTCAGAATTTGAGAAAAAATGACCTGTAAACTTGCAATTACGAGTTTATAACTTGCAATTGCAATATATAAACTGGCAATTCTGAGGGAAAAAAGTGTGAATTGTGAGATAAAGTTGCAATTACCTCTTTTATATTTTTATTCCATGGCAGAAATAAGCTTCTGTAGCTTGGTGTCCATTCCATTTTCAATTTAGCTTGCACAGGCACTTCAACTAAATTTGAAGTTCATATTAATCAATAAAATGCTGCTAATCCAAAAAATGTCCCCTTACCTTCATCTGGTCCTGGCAGCGGAATACATAGCAGGCTGCTTTCTTCTCCTCTCTGAGCAGACAGCCGAAATAGCTGGGCTCTTGGCTGTTGTGAATGAGTTTGGTGATACGATGAGGCCTGTGATCAAACAGAACCATATGTTGCAATGGGTCCCATGGCTTCCCCGGGCCTGCTGTGTCCAGAATGCAACACACTGAATTGGCTGAAATCTGCAATACCACAGGTTGATCTCGAACCTTGGACCATCAGGGAAAAAAACATATTATAGTACATCAGAATTGTCAATAACAAGTACCATAGTATTATTAAAAATAATACTTCTTTGTACCCCTGATCTTAACACTAATTCTTCTGTTATTCTTCAGTAAAATTGTTTCATATGTACTTTAGCGTTCAAAAGTTTGGGATCAGTGAGATATTTCTTGAGCATCAAAGCATGATTTAGAATTATTTCTAAAGGATCATGTGACTCTAAAGACTGGAGTAATGACTAGCCTACTGAAAATTCAGCTTTGCATCACAGGACAAAATTATATTTGAAAATGTATTAAAATACAAAACAGTATTTGAAATTGTGATAACATTTCACAATGTTTGATGGTGAGAATAAGAGACTAAAACATAACAGACTAACTCCAGCTTTTAAACAGCAGGCAGAGAATATACATTTACAATACAATACATTAGGCTTTACATAGCCGTGTTTTTATTTTTTTTTGGTCACATACATTTAATTAGTATTACATATACTAACCTCTGGAGAGTGAGCACCATTGAATTCAAGGTTTCTGTTCTTCTCCCGCAGTCGGGGCCTCCGTATTTCAGCCACCACCCAGGGAAGCATCGCCATGGTGGTCTGTGGATGTATGGCCAAAGATCCAACTAGAGTTAGCCTGTACTGAATCTCCTCTTCCCCTTCTTCTTTCTTCCTCTTACCCTCTGATCCAGGAAGTGTTTGTGTAAGGGCACAGATAGGATGAGCTTTGATTGGGTCATCCCTGGGTTTGACCTCGAAACAAATGCCCTCCATGCTCCTAGTTAAAAAATGAGAAACTAGGTGTAACCTCAAAAGACAAAAAAAAAAAAAAACGCCAACATTAATGAAGCAGACGGTTCAGTGAGCAGATAAAATTAAGGTACAACACACTGTTTGAGGAAGATCACTGCCTATGACAAACCCTTTGAGCACATCTTCATCAACTTTGCCATTTGCAGGGGATTAAAACAGCTTACTCTGAAAGCCCCTGCAAATGTTACAGAAGGACACAGGCAAAGAATACTTTTTTTCCTTTGATTCTCTTTAGAAATATCAAGCTTGAGAAAAAGCAATCTTACAGTAGGCTAAAACCACTGTTATTTTGGCATTTTTTATGTTATTAGTAGGCTATTTATTAATATTTTGAATTGGCTTTTATATATTTACAGGTTTTATTTGAATTTTACTTAAATATTGCCGTGACAACATTTCTCATTTTCATTCCAGTTTTAAAGTTTTTCCATCTAATATTTATATTTCATTTGATTTCAGCTTCATTTCAGTTGCCAAAAATGATTTTAAATAGTTTTAGTTAAAACTATTATATAACAACAATGGCTAAAATCTAATGTGCTTAATTTGGTAACATCTAAATAAACTGATTAGTCTAGCTAGCATATTTAATATAACCTAGAACCATGCCTGCATTCTGTTACACAAACAAAAGTCATTTTTAGAGCAATTTGTGATACAGCCATAGTGCCAGGGGATGCAATTTCAGAACAGACTTTGTAGAGTAAATCTGAAAAAAGGCTTTGAAGCATTGGAAGATATTGTCCTCCTGCACTGATCTGAGAGGGGTTCCTCATGAGGCACAAACCCACTGAAGCCAACAGTGAGTATAAATAGCCAAGCAGGTCTAATGAGACACAACTGCTATTTAGAGAGAGGTCAACAGAAAGTTTCTCTGATGGCAATAAGGCAATATGTCACAACAAAAATATATAAGACAGGTCATGGAGTCATATCAGCAACTCTCAAATCCCCTCAAAAAACACTTTTTCTTTCTAAAAAGATTTTAAGGACATGTGACAAGGTCATAGGTTCGCTACAGCGCCATAATTTGCTTTAGATAGGTTACTTTTAAGTATGTATTCTATATACAAACAAAAAACTAGCATAGGAGACAAGTTGTAACTTTCACTTACCTTTACTCTACTCACAATGCACCGCCTTGAGGAAGTGTTTGAATAACGGTCCCGTTAGATTTTGACAATACAGGCTATAATGTCCCATCGGGAACTGAGTTTCAGGTTGCCTTTTCTTAGTCGATTCATCACATCTGTCGCTCTCCATACATAGCATTCAATAACGCGACAATATGAAGCTGAATGCTGCTCGCTGCGCGTGCGATTGAGGAAGTCTTGTTCTCATCTGACGTTTGAATGAACTTCTGATGGTGAGCACTGAACAGATCACGAGGAGAGAGAGAGAGAGACAGAGAGAGAGAGAGAGAGAGAGAGACAGAGAGAGAGAGACTACTTGCCAGAACTAACAGGAAATAAATAAAAAAAATCACAATGAACTCTTCATTTATGACACAACTGCTCTCCTAAGGTTTTTTTTAGTCTATGGGTTTATTACACAAACCACTGCGAGCACACGCGCGCACACACACACAGCAGTCAACTGTGTGAGCAACAGTGTTGGGGGTAACGCATTACAAGTAATCAGATTACTTTTTTTCAAGTAACTAGTACTTTTTAATTTACAAGAGAATATCTGAGTTACTTTTTCAAATAAGTAACGCAAGTTACTTTTTTTTTTCCAATTTATTGATTGACAGCTCTCCTGTCCCCAGATGTTACTGTAGTTATAAAATAAATATGAATATGCATTAATTCATCTCTCACAAAAAAACAAAAACAGATTCAGTATTCCTCAAAATGAATAAAAATAATGCAACTCAGAATATGACGCAAACCTGCAATAATTAAATATTAAACAACACAAATATCCTTTATGTATTTAATCCCATTCTATTCACCAATGTCTTTGCTTCTGACCTTCGATGATCCAGTTCAACCGTACTAATAAGCACAAATTACTCTAGACAAACATTTGTGTGTCTTTTTTTATTGCTGAAGTGTGTTGAAATTTCTTCTTCTGCATTCTACTGTACGGACGTTCATTCGTTATTCATTTCACTTTTGGTGTGAAAAGGCTTTTATATTTGCCAAAATAGAACTTTTTTTATTTTAAAAACAATCAAGCAAGCCCTGTCCAGATTTGAAAAGTAACGTAAAACTAACGTCCCGCATTACTTTCCATAACAAGTAACTAAGTAACGTAATTAGTTACTTTTTCATGGAGTAACGCAATATTGTAATGCATTACTTTTAAAAGTACCTTTCCCCAACACTGGTGAGCAAGACTATAAATAAAGACAGAGATTGCCTATACCTGTTTAAAATAGCTAAAACAAGTTTGCATACACAATTATAGACTAATAGCCTATATATTTTAACTGGACAAAAAATAATAGGTCTAAATAAGTAGGTCTATATATCTGTTATATACCGAAATACTTTGTCAAACATAAGTAATCCTAACCCTGCTGAAAAAACAATAGAAACCATCACAGAAATTCTAATGGTTTCCACTAAAAACACCATTACAAAGATTACAAACCATCAACTTTTATCCATTAAAGCCATTAAAAAATGGTTTCCTGTAATGTGTTTTGGGACATATTCCATTAGGATTTAGTGGTTTTAACAAACCACCAATAGAAGGTGACCAATTACGAGTAGAGACCCACAGGCACCATTACAGTTTCCATTAAAAGCAGTACAATTTGCATTATAACCAGTAAAACCATTACAAATTCTGTGATGGTTTTATTGTGTGTTTGTTTTTTAGCAGGGAACATTTTCCAAGAATAATTTCGAATACAAGTGTCCATAAACTTTAATAAAACCCACTGTTTTAAGTTGGTGAAAGGCTGTAAAAAAAAAAAAGGCAAAAATTAAGTAATACAAATGCAAATAAATAACAATAAAGGCAACAAATATAAAGATAAATCAAAAACATGAATTTAACAAATGTTAAAATATAAAATCAAAGTTTTGGGACCAACTATACCCTCTGTGAATACAAGTGTCCATAAACTTTAATAAAACCCACTGTTTTAAGTTGGTGAAAGGCTGTAAAAAAAAAAAAAGGCAAAAATTAAGTAATACAAATGCAAATAAATAACAATAAAGGCAACAAATATAAAGATAAATCAAAAACATGAATTTAACAAATGTTAAAATATAAAATCAAAGTTTTGGGACCAACTATACCCTCTGCTGGCCTTAAACAGATAATACATGCATTGGCTTTCATAGTCAGACCTCAGGAAAGTACAATTTAATGAACCCATGAGTTTGAGACTTTTATGAGACTTTTACAAATGGACAGTGAATGTTGGATTAACATGTTTAATCAAGGAATAAAATGTGTTTCATTTGTTATATAAGATCCATTTTATTTATTTCTACATTTGTATCACACACAGACAAAAGACAATTTTGTTGTTGTTACCACTTGCTGTTTATTGATTCCAAATAGAGGGGAAAAACAGCATTGTGAGAAAAGTATTAAACTGAAGAGCTCCTGAAACATATCAAATCACTTTACATGAAAAAGAAGTCAACAGGCATTTTAACGTATCTGGTGGTTTGGCTAGTCAGCCTTACATTAGATGACATAGTCCACTTTGGAGTTTGTAGTAAGGCATATGCTCTGTTAAATCTCAGTGTAACAACTAGTTGCCAAAATGAGATGTCTAAAAAACAAGCTGCTTTAACACAACAAACACTAATCTATTCAAGGAATACTTTTCCTTTCTGTTCAAATGTAAAACCTTCCAAATATGTTCCCAGCCTCAACCTCACGGCTAAAAGCTCTGAATGAATTATCAAACTGGTTGAGTTTGAAATTCAAAATGTAAAAAAAACGCAATGGAATCATGTAAACGTGGAAAATTAAAATGTAGATATAATTTTTTTTTTTCCCCCACAGTAAGGCTGTTGGGTCCCTGTAATCTGGATTTGAGCATTGCTGGTATAAAATGACATGAGCTGGCTTTTTGATTTCTGAGGTTATTTGGTAGGCTGAATTAAACAGTAACTACATATTGTCCTCTGCTCCAGCAATATGGAATCATTTCTGTCAATCAACTCAACTAACATATCTGCTTTATATGAATTCAAACACACTTTATTTGCAACATTAGTACATTCATAGTTCACTACTGTAGGTCAAAAAGGCAAAAAAATCTCATCCGATAACATTGTAGATTACAAAACTGAAAGGTGAAAAAATTTTAAAGTGCAAAAAGGAAAAAGGCAATAGGTATGTTCATGTCGCACCAGCTTTGATCTACATTTCCTGCATTAAAAGTAAGTAAGTGCAAAGTAAGTAAGTCCTCTTTAGATTGAGACCCAGAATATGTAAGTTTTAATAAGAGTGGTTATGTGAGGTATGTTAAGACTAATAGCTGAATTAGACAAAATCTTTGTAAACCTGAGTGATAGTTTCTCTCACTCTGGACGAGGAGTCAAGTTGTTTTTCTCTGGTTGGTAGAAGTGTTCCACGATGGCATCAACCAAGTTATCCAGTTCAGTTTTCAGCTGGTTAAGATCACTAGAGAAAAGACGGACAGAAAAATTGTTTTTAAAAGATTATGAGCTATTCATGTGCCAAGACTATGATTAAGGCTCTATGGCCATGATCAGGCTAACATACTGCTTTTACTATTATTGCAGCGTACAGTGCGCAGAGTATGCAAATTTTGTGTCTGCATAGAATCATGCCTCATGACATATTACCTTTCATTTGTTTTATTAACTTAATAATATTCTATAAATAAAGTTAATAAAATATGCTGCATGGGACAACAGCATACAAAGCTACAGTTGGAAATATTTATATAATAACGACGACTGTTATTATATAGTTTAAAAAAAAGGTGGCATACTCAAGCAGGTGATCAGCTAAAAACAAGAGTTTCCCCCCCCATTTATTATTTTTAAATTAAGCCTATAGTGATAGTGTGAAATAATGAAGCTGTCTAAAACCTGTTTCCTGGTGCAGCACAGAGCTCTGTGTAATATTTGATTTTAGGCTCTGTTCCGCTGGTTCTTATTGTAGCCACGCCCCCGTTAGCAAAGGTGAAGGTAATCATCTGACTGCTTTTACTGGTGGGCAGAATCTGTGAGTAATAGTAAAGGACACACAGATATAGGATAAGAAAACTTTAAATAAGATCAACTATCACAATAATTCTAATCATTATGGGCTACGCACAGCCTTGTTGTCCGGCTGGTTGCTGTCATAGCCAGTCGTAAGGTCTCTCACTGCTGTGATGGCAAAGCCCCCACACTCTTTAGGGTATGAATTCTCCCTGTCGTAGTTCCGAAGATGCTCAAACATCTGTTTAATAGTGTCTTGGTTGTGACAGATGAAGTAGGAATTCTTGGAAATGTGGTAACCGTACCTGAAAAAAGACGATGTGAAAACTATGATTAACAAGAAGATTCAGAACATAAATTATTACAGATGGCAATGCCGAAGTTTTTGTGACATACTCCTCATAAATGGATCTGAGTTGATGGGACAGAGTTATATTTTTAGAAGCCAGGTAAGAGACAAACTCGCCAGCAATGGCAGCCGCACTCACACCATCTTTGTCCAAAACTGCAGGAGAACACATGTAACCTACAACAACAGAGTAACCAAAGAAAAATATTAAAGCTTTCTTTTAATATAGTCTGCACCACTGTGTGTTTTTTTTTTACATTTCAATACAATTATGATATTGTTATGCATAAAAATGAACAGAAACTGACAACTACTTATCTAGGGGTCTGTGGTTTGAACTCAAGATCAAAATTCAGACTGTTACACAAATGCACATAAATGTTCAGCATCTTGCGGTGTGGATGCTACTGTACCAATAGCTTCTTCAAAAGCAAACAGAACAGTCTTTCCCTGGTCCATCAGCTCTCTGGCTCTATTTCCCATCCATTTAAAGCCTGTTAGAGTTTCCTATAAAAGACAGATGCAGAGAGTCAGACAGAAGAACATCAAAAGTGAGTAATCCATTTTTTTTCCACACATGATACTGTACAAAATAAGAGTATGCCTTCAGAGTAGCTGCACTTTCTGACCGAAGAATTTCCATTATTTTTCCAAGACTCTTCCAGTTGTTTCTGATGACTGGATAAGGATTTTTAAAAATCATTTTATGTGAGATTGCGCTTACGAAGAGTCATTTCTAGCCAAAGAAATGCTTAATGCTTGAGAATTATAAGAATATGTTAATGACTATTTAAGACTGTATACATTTTCATGGATTTTTCCACACTTTTGCAATTCC